TCTATGAGCAGAGGTGTGTCTCTTCATGTTATGACTTAATTCTTTAGGATATATACCCAGCAGAGGGATTGCTAAATCATATGGGATTTCTATTCCCATTGGTTGCAGTAGTGCCATATTACTTTCCACAGTTGTCGTGCATACTTACAGTCCCGCTGTGGGTGTATGAGGGTTCCAATCTGTCTTCAACTTCTCCAGCATTTCTTTTCTTTTTTTTCCCCCTCTTGTGTGTGTTTTACCTTAGCTTTCATTGTTAGTGTGAGGTGATATCTCTTTAGCATTTTGATTTGCATCTCCCACGTGTCTAATAATCATGAGCTTCTTTTGTTATATCTGTGGCTAACTGACCACAAACTATTTAGTAGTAAACTGCCTGTTCATGTCCTTCTCCCACTCTTAATTGAGTTAGTCATCATTTTTTATTGAAGTGTTACAGTTTTTTATAGATTTTAGAGATTAGTCCCTTGTCCATTGTATCATTATCAAAGATTATTTTCCCACTCCATCAGCTTTCTTATTGTTATTTTGATGAATTATTGATACACATAAGAGTCTCATTTTTAGTAATTCTCAGTGTATTTTCTGTGTTATATTTGATAGGGTCCTTAAGTTAGTCCCTAATTTCTCATTGATAATCTCTATATAGCTCTAGGATTTAGTTAGGTCTTTAATCCATTTTGAGTTTATCTTTGTACATGAAATGAAGTATGGGTCCTGTTTCATATTTCTACAGATGGAAACACAATTTTGCCTGCACCTTTGTTGAAGGGACTCTCTCCTCAGCTGTCTGTAGGTGGATGAACTGCTCTGCATTCTCTATTCTGTTCTATTGATCTCTATTATTGGACCAGCACCAGGCTGTGCTACCGGGCTGTGCAATAGATTTTGAAGTTGGGAAGTGATAGCCCTCAGAATTTTTAAAATCCATCTTATTGGGAGCTGATACAGATATTATATCATTCCATAGTGCAATCACATCAAGCAGTACTGTACAATTGCTCCCACAGTCGGTTTCAAAAGATTCTCTTCCTTCTTGAATTTCTTGACATCAGCTCCCCCTGCACCCCGACCCCCCCCCCGACCCCCGTACTCCCAAGGAACCCATATTCTACTTGTTGCCTCTATAAATTCCTTAATCCTGGGTTTAATATGCTGAAAGCAAGAGAAATGTATAGCAAGATTTCAAGAGGGCTATCCCCAGTGACAAAATACAACGGAGATAAACCCCAATACGAGAAGAAAACCAAACAAACCGAAAATGATGTAAAAACCAGATCAGGCCCAATGTGTATCAGAGAGTTTAATCAAATGAGAAAGTTTAGACTGGTCAAGCCAGGTTTGTCAGTTTGATCTTCTCTAGTCCTCTCTCAAATGGACTGGTTGTTCTTAAGAAGTTCTTTGCTTATCCTGATTTTCTTCCCTCCCCAATTGGTTGTTCCATTTCTTTGAAGAACAAAGTTGAGATCTGGATGTAATAGTTGGGTTTTTTTTGTGCCAACATGGCACCTGTCAGAAAATATGGGTGGAGTTTAGCCTGTCAATGAAGTTGCAACTTGATGACCTCCTTTGGAGGTGTGACTGAGATAAATGGCTCTCTGGAGGGCGGCCCTTTCTCTCTCTCTCTCTCTCTCTCTCTCTCTCTCTGCCTTCACCTTCATGCCTTCATGCTGGAGAGCCCCTCTAGGACCTGTGAGAGCCCTATATTCTCCCATCACAATTGGATCTGCACCCTGCACCCACCGGCCAGTGATGTTCCTGCATCCTGCATCGTTGCCCGTGGCTGTGTGAGTCTGAAGAGGGGCTTATGGACTAGTCTCTGCCTCATGGACTGGAGTTGGACTGGGCTGGAGTGTTTTATTGATGCACAATTACTTTCTGATATGAAACCCTTTCTTATACATGAGTGTCTCTGTATTTGTTTGTCTAGTCAATCTAGACTAACACACTAGATAAGAAAGGCATTTTGTATATTTAAAGATTGCTTTGGGCAATACTGACATTTTCATAATATTAAGCCTTCTTCTTTATGAACATGGAATATTCTTCTATTTATGTAGGTCTTTTTTGTTTCTTGTATAGTGTAATAGTGGCCTTTTATGATGACTGCTTCCTGGTTGTTGTAAAAGGATCTACCTGTGTGTTCGGTTGGTCAATTTACCTCAGAAGTTATTTGCATCTTTTAAATGGCTAGTGATCCCAAGCATTTCTTCATCTGTTTATTGGCCATCTGGATATCTTCTCTGGTAAACTGTCTGTTCATGTCCTCTGCCCATTTTTAAATTGGTAATTCTTTTTTTTCTTGTTGAAGTGCTGCAGTTTTCTATAAATTTTAGGAATTAGACCCTTATCTATTATGTCATTGCCAGAATTTTTCCCAGTCTGAGATTTCTTTTACTCTTTTGATGAAGTCTTTTGATACACTTAAATGTCTTGTTTTTAGGATACCTCAGTCATCTATTTTGTCTCCTGCAGTATCTGTGTTTTGTTATGCTTGATAGAATTCCTTCCACGTAAAAGAGCCCTTTAGTTTATCTCTATATTCTTTTTATGGTGCTAGGGTTTGTACTTACGTCTTTCCATCTTGAGTTCATTTTTGTATATGGAGTGAGGTATGGATCTTGTGTCATTCTTTTGCAAATAGAAGTTCAATTTTGCCAGCCATGTTTGTTTAAAAGCTACCTCTTCCCCATTTAATCTTTATCAGCCCTTCATCAAAAATCAGCTGTTTGTAGGTGGTTGGGTTTATTCTGGGTTCTCTGTTCTAGTCCACTGGTTTACTTTTCCATCATTGTAGCAGCACCGATTGTTGACTTCTTGTGACTGTACAGCTGGCTTTGAGGTTGGGAAGTGAGAGACCTCCTACTGTTTGTTTTGTTTTTATTTTCAGTAGTACTTCCCTTATACCTGGGATCCATTCTGCTGCACCCAGTGAATAGATGTCCCTATCCTTTTGAAGGTAGAGTGGGCCTGATGGTACTGCTGCAACATCTAGGAGACTGATGGAAAGGAGGCTGCATTAGGTAAACTTTCCCAGGCTGCCATCTGGCACTCGCCCCAATTCCGGGACACAGTTCCAGTGAAGCCAGTAGCCTGTGTTGTCATAGATCTTCATATATTATAGACATGAAACCCTTATGAGATATGTGGTTTCCAATTATTTTTTTCTCATTCTGTAGGTTACCTCCTAACTTTGTTGATAAAATCATTCAATGCAAAATATACATATATATATATATAGAGAGAGGATATTTACTTTATCTAATTTTCTTTTGTTGGTCATTCTCTTCTTAAAAGACCATTATCAAAGCCAGGTCTTAAAGTTTTATCCCTGTGTTTTCTTCGAAACGTTTCATGATTTTCATTCTCATATTTAGGTCCATGATCCACTATGAGGTGAATATTATAGATAGTGTGAATTACTGGTTCTGCTTCATTTTTCACATGTAGAAATCTGCTTTGTTCCTATATCATTTGTTGGAGACATTACCCTTTCCCCCTTCAATGGACCTATCACCTGTCAATTTGTCATATATCCATGAACTTATTTCTGGACTCTTGTTTCTATTCCATTGTTCTATATGTCTGTTCTTAAACTGGTACTATGCTATTTCAATTACAATAGCTTTGTAGTGTGTTTTGAAATAAGTAAACATGAGTTCTAGTTCCTTGTTCTTTTAAAAGATTGTTTTGGCTCTTCACATCTCCATCTGATTCTATAAGGCTTTGAGGATCAGCCTTTTCAGTTGTGAAAAAAAAAGCCTGATGGAATTTGGATAGGGATTACATAACATCTATAGATTGCTTGGGGAAGGATCAATGTCATAACAATATTAAGTCTCTCAATTCATGAACACTGGATGTCTTTCTATTTAGATCCTTTATTTATTTTCGAAATGATTATAATTTTCTGTTTATAAATCTTTAATCTATTTGTTAAATTATTCCTAGGTATTTTATTCTCTTAAATGATTCTACCAAACCCAAAACCAAACTCATTGCCAGTAAGTCGATGCTGACTCAGTTACCCTATAGGTCAGGGTGGAACTTCCCCTGTGACTTTCCGAGACTCTGACTCTTTAGGGCAGTAAAAAGCCCAGTCTTTCTCCCATGAAGCAACGGACCTTGCTGTTAGCAGCCCACAACTCCTCTCATCAGTCTTAGGTCTAGGGGAAAGCATTATTAAGACAGTGGTAAAGTAGCCATTGGTAAAGTATAAAATTAACTATTATCCATGATTAGTGAACTTGCCATTAACCCCCTAACATGGCAACACTATGCCACCAGGTCCCCAGCTATCTTTAAATTCCATTCATCAGTATAGAATACTATCTAGTCCACATATATCAACTTCATTTTTCAACAGTTCTAGATGTTATGGATATTTTTTTTTATTATTTTATTGGGGGCTCATACAATTCTCATCACAATCCATACATATATCCTTTGTGTCAAGCACATATGTATATTTGCTGCCCTCATCATTCTCAAAACATTTGCCCTCCACCTCAGCTCTTAATATCAGTTGCTCATTTTCCCCCTCCCTCCCCACCCCCCCTCCCTCATGAACCCTCCATAATTCACAGCTTATTATAGTTTTGTCATAAGTTACACTCTCCGACATCTCCCCCCACCCTCTTCTCTGCTGTCCCTCCCCTAGGGAGGAGACAATGCCTAGATTCTTGTAATTGGTTCCCCCTTTCTACCCCACATTCCCCCCACCCTCCAGGCATCGCCCCTCTCACCACTGGTCATGAAAGAGTCATCTGTCCTGGATTCCCTGTTTTTCCAGTTCCTATCTGTACCAGTGTACATCCCCTGGTCTAGCCAGATTTGTAAGGTAGAATTGGGATCATGATAGTGGGGGTGTGGGGGAAGCATTTAAGAACTAGAGGAAAGTTATATGTTTCATCGTTGCTACCCTGCACCCTGATTGGCTCAATTTTTAAGTGTTGTTTACACTCAAACTTCTGGAAAGACTAATTTTCAATTATATATTCTAGCCAAAATTAATCCTCTGTGCCAAGATCCTCGCCTCTCTATTTTCATTGATCCAGCTTCAATTATTGGTTTAACTACTAAGGCAGAAAATACAAGAATACATAAGAAGATCAAATGGCCAGATTGTCAGATCCTATTTGAAATGGACCCTGTCTATCAAAGTAAAGTAAGTTTATGAACTCCTTTGATTTAAGAAGCAAAAAACCACCGAAATTACCATGATTCATACCAGTTGGTAAACCATTCCCAGCTTATCTCCTCATCAGTCTTCTTCATGATTTCTCACCTATTCTCACATCTGTGTATCTTTCCCAGCATCTAATATGCAAATGAATTTTCTCTTTTAGTGGTAGTTCATAATAATAGCTTTTTAATATGTTTGCTTGACATGGCTCCAACTCTTTTCATTATCATTTACCAGATTACTACAGATTAGCCTATTATAATTTAAAAAGATGTACTTATCATTTTCCTGGGTAGTTTTTTCAAATTACAAGAATATTTAATCATCTTAACTTGGGTCAGAATTCTAGGTATCCAAATCATCTATGTTTTCGGAATGGGGTTAGGACATATGTTATATAGAGCTACCCATTCTAGGATTATGCCTACAACATATAGTCTCTAATAAGGTAGCAAGCATTTCCAGTATTTGGCTCACACATAATAGGTAAATTATAAAATTAAACTGCTTGATAAACTTCTAATATAAAAACCAAATATTTAAAATTTTCATCTAAGACTTTTTAAGTTTTCTGTTTTTCACATACTTAGCCATTTAATAGAAGTTCTTAACACAATGAAATCGATATAAGAAACATTTCATTTCAATAAACAATTAACTATTAGATTTTACTTTTGTAACGTTAAAAATAAAATTGCAGACTTCAATTTTAATCATTCTTATCTGCAGGTTGTGAATCTCCTGACTGTTATTGGTAAATCAATGGGACAAGTTAGTTCTTACAGCAACAGCTTTCTGAAATATTGTACCATGGTGGAAAAGTCCAAAATCATGACTATGAAAATGTCATCTTTGGGAGGTGAATTGACTTCAATACAGTTTAAAAAAGTACTAAATAAATTCAGAAAATATCTTACAAAGATTGTGAACATGACCATTGAGAAACGCATTGGTATTTTCAAAGTTATGAGTGTTGATTATCAATCAGAATGTTTGCCATTTGTTGATGATGTCATAATTATGTGCCACATCCTTTTACGACGTATAATGCAACAGAGGAATGAAAATCTATTGGAGGTATGTGTTTTGATATTTTCTATTTTATAAAATTACAATTTTAAAATATGCACTTAGAAAATACACATGTTAAGTATTATCTTAAGAAAAGTCCAATATCTGTTAGTTTCATGTATGCCTTGATCAAATGTTGCTTTTTCAAAGAAACCTTTTTTGACCGATATATCTAAAATTGTACCCTAGATCACTTCCAATTTATTTCCCAGTTGTTTCTTTATAACATGTATTGGTACCTGTCATTGTTATAGATTCATTTTTTTCTTGATCATATCTTTTACTAGGCTGCAAACTTAAACAATTTATGGGATAGGTCTTTTAGAACAAATGAGGTTCCCCTGTGGCTGACTTCTTTTGAAGAAGACTTCTAGGTGGTCAGATCACAGATTTCAGATCTAAGAAAGTATCTAATAACACTCAAATTATGTCAGAATCAACTTGATGGCAGTAATATTAAGTTGGATTGAGCTGTCACTCATCTTTGTCTCTAGGACAGATCTAGATATTAGCAAACCAGTTATGATGAACTGAAAAGCTCCCTCAATAGTGCTTCCGATCTGATTACCAATATTAATTTTTTTTCTTTTTGTCTTTTATTCTAATCATTTTATTAGGGGCTCATACAACTCTTATCACAATCCATACACACATCAATTGTGTAAAGCACATTTGTACATTCATTGCTCTCATCATTCTCAAAACATTTCCTCTCCGCTTAAACTCCCGGCATTAGGTCCTCATTTTTCCCCTCCCTCCCCGCTTCCCCCTCTCTCATGAGCCCTTGATAATTTATAAATTGTTATTTTGTCATATCTTGCCCTGTCCGACGTCTCCCTTCACCCACTTTTTGGTTGTACATCCCCCAGGGAGGAGGTCACATATAGTTCCTTGTAATTGGTTCCCTCTTTCCTACCCACTCTCCCTCTACACCACTCACTTTCGCCACTCACACCACTGGTCCTGTAGGGCTCATCTGCCCTGGATTCCCTGGATTCCCAGTTCCTATCTGTACCAGTGTACATCCTCTGGTCTAGCCAGACTTGCAAGGTAGAATTCGAGTCATGAAAGTGGGAGAGGGGAGGAAACATTTAGAAACTAGAAGAAAGTTGTATTTTTCATCGTTGTTACATCACACCCTAAGTGGCTCATCTCCTCCCCGAGACCCCTCTGCAAGGGGATCTCCAGTGGCCTACTAATGAGCTTTGGGTCTCCACTCCATACTCCCCCCATCATTCACTATGGTAAGATTTTTTGTTCTGATGCCTTATACCTGAACCCTTCGACACCTCGTGGTTGCATAGGCTGGTGTGCTTCTTCCATGTGGGCTTTGTTGCTTCTGAGCTTGATGGCCACTTGATTACCTTCAAGCCTTTAAGACCCCAGACGCTATACTTTTTGATAGCTGGGCACCATCAGCTTTCTTCGCCACATTTGCTTATGCACCCATTTGTCTTCAGTGATCTGTTCGACGCCAATATTAATTTATAATAGTATTTACCATTTGATTATTTACTCATATCACAAATATGCATTCATTGTCATATTTATAGAGAGACAGACAGACACACAGAGAGACAGAGACAGACAGATTGATTGCAAGAAAATAGATCATGCAATTGTGGAGGGTGCAAATTCAAAATCCATGATTCAGGGAGCAGGCTGCATGCTCATCTGGAAAATTAAATCTCTGTAAATCAGGCAGCTGACTACTGGTTCACCTGGTTGCAGGAGCTGGCAACTCCAAATTCCATGGGTCAGGAAGCCTAGAAGCTTCTCACCTCCTAAAAACTAGAGGTCAGACAATAATGAGATCAATGCAGATAAGAGCAAGAGCTTTGCCAGAATATCTCCTCTTAATATCATGATTCAGTCCACAGCTCGGGAAAACAACTCTTCCCACTGGGTTTCTTCTTTTATCAAGTCGCAACGTAGAAGGGGATTACACAGTATCTGACAAACCACTGGAAATAATAGTTGGCACACAATATTAACCATCATAGCTGTAATAGCTCCAGCCATCATCTCTACCTTCCAGGCAGTAAGATGGAAGAAAGCAGCAAAAATGAGAAACCCTAAGTTTCTCATTTGTATGAGACCACTGCCAGACAGATAAAAATCAAGACAAGGTCTTGTGTATGAAAGGGGACTGAATTTGTAAGTTCCAAAGAGAGGGAGGGCAAAGGTGGGAAGAAGCAATGGACTAGAAGGTACTGGCGGGTGAAAGGGGGCATGGAGGTCATAGGAATGTGAAGAGATGTCCGTGGAGGATGGGAATACCAGACAAGAGAAGGTTGGTGAGTGTTTTGAGAGTGAACTGTTGAATGCAAAGTTGATTGTTTGAAATGTAAATACTCCCACATAATTCACAATAAAAAAATCATTTTTAAAACGTGGTCTTAACAGAGTGCATGGCATTCCAAACAAATTCTGCCTTTGTTTAAGGCGAAAGAGAATGAAAGTTGGTAGCAAACATAACTGCGTCATCAGGAAATGGGAACAGAAAGAGCCTGGCACATCAGAAGAACTGAGTGAAGTTCATTTTCTTGGTAGAATTCTCTGTGAAGAGGGATTGACAAGAGGTGACATTGAAGAATTTGGTAGAATGACTTGCAGGTGATGTTCCAGATGTTTGAACACTAACTTTAAGGCTGTGGGAATTACTGCAAGGTTTTAAGCAGGGAAAGACTGAGGTGCAATTTAAATTTTTGTTAGGATCACTATGGATGATGTGAAAAATGGGCAGAGGTGGTATAAAAGGGAACAGTGTGGCGTCTGAAAAGTATATGGATTTGAACTATAGTGAAGATGTGAAATTAATAGGATTTGGTGATTGAAATGAGGAATGTCAATGTATACTTTCAATAAATTGATGCTTTCAAATGTTGGTTAGGCAGCAAGGACACAATTCATTGGAAGGAGTATGATATTTGTTGAATGGTGTGATGTTCAAGTAGAGGACATTATAAATATTCATGTACAAGGTTAGATCATAAAGCAGTGCTACCAAGGTTCCAGCTCATAGATACATGGGTCTATTCCAAGCAAAATGTGTTCAAACAAGTGTCTGTGATCAGTGGATGACTTCAAACAAGATGCCTTGATAATACACTTGTCTTAGTCTCAGGAGGGTTCTTTCAAAGTAAAAGTCCACTCAAAGAAATGGCTTCTAAGGGGATCTGCTGGAGCAATTAAATTCAAGACAAAGAAGTCAGATCACAGGAGAAACACACCAGCCGGTGTGATACAGGGCTTATAAGTACTAAAATCCAAATCCAGAGGAGAGCATGGTATCAGAGCTTAAACTCTGAACACTCAGTTTGCAAAAGGCTATAATGACAATGGAAGCCCAAAATTCATTTGCATGCGGACTCAGTCTCTGACCATAGTCTGGAGTTGTGAATTGTCTTGCTATCAGACAGCATTATAAAGTAGATTATGGCAGATATAGTTCAGTTAAAATATGATACCTTATCAGTCGATCTTCCTTTTGACCCATTTTAAATTTGTTCTCATCTTTAATATTTTCTGTTTTCTTTCTTACTGAGGTTTTTCTCTTTTATTGTGTGGTTGTTGTTGGGTTTTGTTGAGTTTGATTTTGTTTCATGTGTTTGCTTCTTTGTTTTCCTGTATATGAAATCCAGGATAGGTACAGCTATAGAATTTGTAACTGGAATAATAATTACCTAGGAACATGGCAGAGGAGACTGGGAGGAAGTGGAGGGCTAACAACAATAAGTACAAGAAAGAAGAAAAGATTCAGAATTAATTGTTGTGGTAGTTACATAATCTGGTGTCAATTTAGGGCTTGAGAGGATTAAGAGTTAAGGGGTGGAGTCTAGTCTGTCAATCAGATCATAGCCAATGAGGTCTCTATGTGAGTGTGGCCTTCTCCTGAGAATTCTGGGAAAGCCGGTATTTTCCTCCTTGGAAGCAGGAAAGAATTCTCTTTCACTGCTCACTTCCTGGGAGACATTGCAGCTGACAAGAGACATGGAACTATGCTAGTGTCCTTAGCTGGAGAAACCACATGGACCTACCCTGATGCAACCAGACCTCTGAAGCTGGGGAAGCCACGTAGAGACCACTGCCAGTGCTGAGATGCTTACAATGTCACTGGATCCAGACTTTCTACCCACTGGCCTGTGAGCATCTTGCATTCAGTGTCATTGTATGCGTTTCATGAGTCTGAAGAGGACGTTATAGATTGGTATCAGACATATGGGCCAATATTGAACTTATGGACTTGATCTGGACTGGGTGGGATGTGTTCTCAATGTTCAATTCCTCTTGTATACAAACCTCTTTTTCTAATATGCATATGAGTTTCTATGGATTTGTTTCTCTAGTCTACCCAGACTAACACAATTGTGGTGATGAATGCACAACTCTTCTTAAATGGTCGAAATACTGAATTGTATGATGTGTGAAAGTTATGGCAAGTGCATTTTGGGATCGTAGAGGTAAATTTTCTCAGAGGACATAGGAAAATCATTAGGACCTATTAGAAAGAAAATTGAAGAGAAATGAAAAAATGTATTGGTGAGAAAAAGGCCAGCGTAGTTGAACCTAGATTTTTTTTTTTTTTTGTCTATTGTGACAATGAACCTGCTCATTCTTCAAAGGTAGCAAGGACTATCCCATGAGAATTCTGTTAGGCAACATTAGCTCATCCACCCTACAGCACTGATCTTGCCCCATGAGACTTCTTTTTGTTCTCAAAACTCAAATAACATTTAAAATGAACACAATGTTAGTCCTTGGAGAAAGTCAAAATTGTTTGCATATAGTATAAATCTAAGCGTGCAGAATTCCACAGAGAGTGGTAAGAGAGATGGAAACATCACCTTTAGAAATGGATAGACCTAGATGGAGGATATGTTGAGAATTCCTAGCTTCACATTTTCATCTGGTTGTTTAATAAAGGTATCTATGATTTCTTAGCAATGTATATTTTTTACTTAACCCATATTTTACACTCTCTATACACATATTCTATGTTCAGATATGCATGCCTAGATACCATGATAAAGGTCTACATTGCGAAGATTGAATTATTGGCGTACAAATGGTCATTGTAAATGAGAACTCCCTTGTTTATGTGTGTGGAGTCAGAGGAGATAGACACCACCAGCCTGAAGAAAATCAGCATTTTAAGAGGAAGAGGAGCCTGCAAAATATAGTACAAAGTATTCAGAAGAAAACGAGAATATTTTGAAAAAGAAATCTTTAGCAGTTTTTAATGCTGCAAGGAGTTTAAGAAAGCATCGAAGAAAGGAAGGAGTCTCTTATGTGAAAGCAGTGGTGGGATTTAGCCCGTTCCCACCGGTTCAGCAGAACCAACACATAATTATTTATTTGTTTGTTTATTTGTTTATTTTAGTTCTGCTGAAGCAGGGACAAAGCACTGCTCCTGAGGAGCGAAATGCAGCTCAAAGACAAAGAAACCTGGGGAACATGAAAAGAGCCACACACACACACACACACACACACACACACACACACACCACCCTACCCACCCACCCACGTCCCCAGCCCTGCAAATCCATTCTGCTTCCTAAGAAAATGCTCCCAGTCAGGAGAGCAGGGCTCCGTCTCTGGATAAGAGTCCAGTGAGCCCCATAAGGACAGAATAAAGTCCTTCCTGGTGTTATAACCCGCTTGGCTTTGACAACTCCTTCAGATCCACTTGGGTAACATTTCCAATGGGTTTTTGAAATGGCCTTGTAATCAGGATTCTTTCTAAGGTGGGCAGCTGGGCAGCCCACCAATGTGGACATCACAAGTTGCGATTTCTTACTCCTTTTTAACGTTCATCTGCTCAACCGCGTAACGTAAGCACCCATCATGACGTTCGTTGTAGCCAGCAAAACTCACTGCCGAGTCCCTGCCGACTCAGAGTTAGGACAAGATGGCACTGCCCTTGTGAGTTTCTGAGGCTCCAGTAAAGAGCCCTGGCTTTCTCCCAAGGAGCATTGGTTTTGAATTGCAGTCCCTTCCAATCGCAGCCAAACACATAAGCACTACACTACCAGGACTCCTTGTTCTGTCCCCAAAGTATAAAAAATTAGACTGAACTATGCTAGCAATATGTATTTATTCACTTCATTATACTTTTTGATAAATGCTATATTTTTATTGTCTAGACTTTGTTACTCCAATAAACAAGCATAACCCCCCCACCCCACCCCCCAAAAAAGTGCCAAACAAGAGAACGACTGTGTCATGTTTCAGCTTTGTGTTATGTCCCAAATTCCCATATAAATAGTGAATTATGCAATTTGTGGAAGTGTTTAAAGAGCTAAAGATATTGTCAAAACAATTGCTGCAAGTTCAGCAGCAACAGCAAGGAGTTTTTCAAGATGGACTTAAGATGCTCAGAGTAATCACCTGTTTCCAATACATCAAACACACTGACTACTGTAAAATTGACCTACCAGTCTAAGGAATGAGGTCTGACTCCTCCAGCGAAAAGATGGTTAAGGATAAATCACACAGCCAATGATGCTCGGATAAAAGTGAAGAATATTGCAAGTGAGGACTTCAATCAAGAAGCAATATGGAAATAGCTTAAATCACAGTTTTTACTTAATATTTTTTCATTAATATTTTAAAACATAGCATAGGCTAGTTTTGTATACCTCTTTTTTAGTCTTGTTTAAGTATAGCTGCATGAAATACTAAACTACATTTTGGTATATCTTTTTTTAATACTTAAAACAATCATTAGGGCAGTGAATTAGGGCAGTTAAGTTATTTGAATACCACCAGTGGATGAAAAGATAATGTGTGCTAGATCCTAAACTAAATGCTTTATATACATTATCTTTAGCCGATAACAATCCTATTACACTGAAACGAAACAAGATAAAGCGCCTGTGCTGCAGGCTAGAATTGAGTCCTAAAGGCTCTTCGTGGTCATACGCTTTATGGAAGCAGGTCGCCAGGTCTTTTGTCTCTAGCACTCTGGGTGGGTTGGAAGGGCAGCCTTTTGTTCAGTAGTCAAGCACAAACTGCACTTTGTAAGTCTTGTTCTGCAACATAAAAACACAAATTACTCGGTTACGTTTATGATGGCATCCCACAAAGATTGTCAGAAAAATTGACAAACAGTTTATTAAATAAGGGGTTCGTTTGTCTCCAGAAGTGGGGGATTTAGATGATGGAGGTGACCAAGTTGGGGTGGGAAAATGGGGTCTGCCCCTTCCACCTGCCTAGGGGTCTAGGAGGGAGGAATGAAGCAGTATCCTCCTCCGAGGGCAGGTTCCTGATCCGAGTGGCTTGGGGAGTCATGCGATGACTGGTGAATGGCCAGGTGTGTGAGTCCAGAGCCACTTCTGGGCCCTCACTCCTTTGGTCTTCAACTCGGGCCCGAGCTCCCTGCCTGTACTTTATAAAACCCCTGTTGTACTTTCTACTTGTGTTGTTATGATACTACTTGGTTAATAGACCGGGTGTGTGTTGGCTAATACCCAAAGAAGTTTTGGGGTTTTTTTTTTAAGGCCTGCAAATGGTCTTTCTTTATGTGCTTTTTGGGTGTCTTCAGAGAGGAGGAAGAGTGCCCAGAACTGAACCTCAGGGGAGGGGGATTCGTTGTGCCAAGTGGGGCTGGAGCTCCAGGCTTGTGCGGAGAGTTAGTCTACTCACTATTTACGCCTGCTCCGGGCTGCCCTGTAGAGTTATCCCAAAGCAGCTGGGGTAGGTTGTGCTGTTATTGGTTGTGCTGTTATTGGTTGTGCTGTTATTGGTTGTGCTGTTATTGGTTGTGCTGTTATTGGAGATTTAGCGCTACTAGGTTATCAGGCTGGAGTTCCCTTCACTGAGAGCCAGGTCTACTTGTGTTTCTATCAGCCCTCAGGCTGGTGCCATAGGGCTATGTCCCCGCAGCTCAGCCACTCTGCCACCGTAGCCAGCTCCCAGACTGGGAACTTGCACTCAGCCAGCTAGTGCCAAGGGCCAATGACAAAGGGGGTCTATCAGCAGATGTTGCTGCTCAATAAATTTGTGTCTACTTCTCTTTAGGCTGAGAATCCTGTGATCTGGAAGTGTAGATTATCCCTCTCCATTTCTCCTTGATACTGGTCTCTGTAGAGTTACTTGGTTGCCATCTTGCTTTCCTCTGTATAACTCCTCTTAATGTGATTGAACTATTGAGTTGTTTGATATGTGAATTACATGCCAATAAAACTGTTGAAAAAGAGTATAATATTGATTTGGAAAGACTGCATAAATATTTAATAAAAGACCTCGAAATAGGAAAATATAACCATTATACTTTGAATATAGAAATACAGAAAAAAAAAATACAGTTGTTTTCCATTTTAATGGAATTATATACATACATTTATGAAAAGTGTGCATGTTACATATTTACAATAGATACAAAAGGACAATATAATTGAGAAGAATGGAGTTTAGAGTCACATACAGCTTTGAATCATAGCTCTACATCTCACTGAACTTCATATCTTAGGCTAATTGATTCCTCAAAGACTCAGTGTCCTCCTGTGGAAACTAGAATAACACCTATTTGGCAAACATAAACTTAATGAGAAATCATATATATATAAAGAGCTTTGCATATTAACACTCAAAAAATGGTATCAATTAATTTGCCTATTCATATTTCAGTCATACCCTTGTTATTGATAGTACATTTATTTCTGTAAGCAGTTATTCATAATAGGACTTCTTTTATGCTTTAGCAGCATTTATTTTACTTAAGAGATATAAGTTCCTTCAATTAACAATAAGAAGATTTGATCATGTTGATGCCCTAATTTTAAGCAATATTTAGACTAATGTCTAGAGACGTTTTAATTTTTCTAAATGTTTCATTGTTTCTTAGATAAGTTAAAAAGAATATTATAATACTGAAAATCATTATATAATTATAATTGATGTGTTAATGATTTCAGGAAATAGAATCATCGTTGAGAAAACTGGAATGTGAACCCACTGAAATAGAAGAATTTGTGAACCATTTTACTTTTTTGGATGAAGTTTCCTTAGAAATACCTAAATTAGAAAGAGAGTACTTAGCAATTGCTCAACTTAATGCAGTTGTAAAGTATTATCAGATCATTATTCCAGAAGAAAATGTTGCCTTGTATAAACTCCTTCTCACCAAATTTAGTCAGTTGAAAGCAGCTGTGAAGTTAAGTGAAGCAAATAAAGATGTTGTTTTCTCTAAATTTAAAGAAAATTTGGAAGCATATATCTCTGTCCTGCAGGCTGACGCTATTAATTTAAAAGAAAAGGTAAGTTTTTGTTTTCACTAGAAATAAATTCGATGATAACCTTATGTATAACCAAACATTTCCAGTCCTATCTCATTTCATGATGCTGTGACTGTTATTGCAACTATTGTGACAATTCATCTTTTTGAGGATTTCCTTTATTCTTGTGGATCCTCTAACCATATCAAACGTGATATTAAGTTGATCACCAACTCAGTCTTAGTCTCATGTAAATGTAGGCATTTGGTCATTTGCTTTCTGTGGAATCTTGAGTAAATAATTTAATCAAAGAATTCTTTACCTGGGAATTTGTATTATAATCATTCTTCAAAATGTTGGCGGTTTGTGAACTTGAATGAATAGCAGAGAGGCTGCCCACTCTTACCCGTGCTTCCTAAAGTCCTTCTTAACATAGCTCAGGCTGTCCCTTTTGCTCCTTGGAGCTGGGTACTGGGCCAAACTCAGGTCTTGCTTCTTTTTCAATACCAAGGATCTGTGTCTTCCCAAGCCCAGGTCCTGTTTCTTCCCTAAGTCCGAGGACAACCTACCTTCTGGACACTGGCTGCAGCTGCCCAGTTCTAAGTCTCCTGTGAGCTTCCAGGACCTCGTAGGCAGCATCCCATTCTCATGCACCCCACATAAACCCCTCCTTAAGTTTGCCTGGTACACCAACACCCCGTCTTCCCTCCTAATGGAAAGTACTATACAGTGTGAGCTTCCTTTCTATTGGCAAACAGCATCTACCAGTCAGTGACCCGATCAGGAACTCAGGGATCAGTACTGCCAAACATACATTGCTAATGGGCAAAGTAGTTGATAGCATTTTTTAATTATTGTCATAAATGTGAAATGTCAGATAATAAAGATAATTGATAAGTGAGGAGTAGGTGTATATATGGACATTGAAACCCATCAGATGTACTTTTTTTTCTTTCAACAATCATTCATACTTTTAAATATATATTGTAATTGAGCAAAGGTTCACTGAGCTAATCCATTTTCCATTAAGTATTTCAAACACATTTTGTTCATGTCATTGGGTGCATTACTTCCTCCACTAATAATGCAACATCACTTCCTCCACTTCTTGTGTCTTCTATTTCCATTCCCCCTTCTTTTCTAACTCTTCTGAGCTTATGACCTCAAATGGAGCTTATTCTGAGAAGTTTGTAGTTCCCTCGTGTTACTGCACCTCTTGTAGACCTATGTATTGTTTGGCTTAAAACTGAGCCATGGGTATACTTCATCACTAGACTTGAAGGGTGATTAAAGGCTTCAGGGGTTCCATCCATGTCTGTCCAACCAGTAGGCCCAGCTATTATTATTTTGAATTTTGTTCAATATTTTTCTCCCACTCTATCCAAGATTTTCTTTCTTTTTTTAAGAATCATTTTATTGAGGACTCTTACAGCTCTTATCACATTCCATCCATCCATCCATTGTGTCAAGCACATTTCTATATTTTATATTTTATATTTTATATTTTTTTGCCATCATCAGTCTCAAAACATTTTCTTTTTCCTTGAGCCCTTGGTATCGGCTCCTCATTTTCCCCTCCCTCACCAACCCTCAATAATTTATAAATTACTATTATTTTTTCATGTTTCACACTGACCAATGTCTCCCTTCACCCACTTTTCTGTTGTCCGCCTCCCTGGGAGGGGGTTATATGTAGACCATTGTGATCGGGTTCCCCCTTTCTCCTCCCACCTTCTCCTTCCCCTCCCGGTATCGCTATTCTCATTATTGGTCCTAAGGGGTTTACCTGTCCTATCCAGGACTTTCTCATGTGATCCCTTTCTGAGCAGTTTGTAGTGGTACCTGAGCACCATTTTCCCTGGTCTCACGAGTGGAGAGACTGATGTTTGAGAGATCCATTAGTCCTTTGGGTTGAGTGTCTCCATCTATCTGATTTTTGTATGTTGGGCTTGTATTCTGCCACTTTGCTGAACATTTCCATTAGTTCCTGTAATGTTCTTGCTGAATCTCTAGGATTCTCTACATATAGGATCATATCATCCACAAATAGAGTTTTATTTTTCTTGCTGGTTTTGATGTCTTTAAATCCCCTATCTTTACATGTAGCTGTGACTAAGACTTCCAGCACAAAATTAAATAGGATTGGTGATAAAGGGTGTCCTTGTGCCTCGAGTTACACATTGACCGCTACTAACCTCAAGATCAGAGATTTGAATCCCAACAGCTGGTCCGTGGAAGAAAGATGAGGCTGTCTGCTCCTGTCAATATTTAATTTTCAGAAACCCAAAGAGGCAGTTCTGTCCTCTCCTATAGGGTCGCTATGAGTTGAAACAAACTCTGTGGCATTTGCAAAGGGAATACTTTCACTTTCTCTCCTTGGAGCATGATGTTTGGCTGTTTGTTAGGTATATGTGCCATTAGTTATACTTAGGAATTTTCCTCTCATTCTTGTTGTTGAGTTGTTTGTATTTTTTAGTCAATAATGGATCTTGAACTTTGTCAAATGCCTCTTCTTCATAGATCAGTATGGTCATGTGATTTATTTATGCAGCCGACTGTGATGGTTAATGTACAACCATTTTCCCATACCTAGTATGAATCTCAATTGGTCAGGGTGTAAGTCTTTTTGATATGTCATTCATGCTGTTGATTAGTATTTTGTTGAGAACTTTTGTATCTATATTCATGAGGGATATTTATATTTTTCCTTTTAGTGATTTATTTGCATAGTTTTGTAATCAGGGACATGTTTTCTTCATAAAATGAATTTGGAAGTGTTCTGTCCTTCTATTCTCTGGAATAGCTTCAGCATAATTGGTATCAGCTCTTCTTTTCTTGTTTGCTAGAATTTTTCAGTGATGCTGTCTTGAACAGAATTTTTTTTTGGTGCAAATTTATTAATGCTGTAATAAATGTCTTCTTTTGTGATGGCTCTGTTCTACTTTAGACCATGTTAGTTTAGATTGCTGTTATTGCTTTTCGGAGCTGTCAGGTCGGTGCTGACCCACAGGGCCCCTGTGTACAACGGAACGAAACACTGTCCAGTCCTGCCCCATCCTCACAATGGTTCTTATGTTGGAGCCCACTGACACAACAACTTTCATAGTTGAATATATAGCATCCCATTGCATGCAACTGAAATGTGTCAGCCCCATTTACGCATAATGTTCTATAAGTGAATAAAATAAAAATATTTTATTTCAGTTATGTGAATACCTACATCATAATCCTATAATCCTATCAGCATCTTCCCCCACCCATGAAAGTTTGTAAGCCAACCACTTCATACCTTTATCCCCTGTACCCCCCACCTCCCATTTTGAGTATCCAATTTCTATACTGCCCATTTCTATCAACCCAATGCTCTGAGGAGACAAGCATGCTTTTTGGTGTGAAGAATCTTCATTCTAGTTATGAGACTGCATCCATAAGCAAAGCCAAATCAGGACAGGCCATCCATAAAGTCAGCAGCAATGTACTCCAATACACAGGCTCAAAAAATCTTGTCTTCATTTGATTGGGTTCTGGTCAACTCCATGGCTCACCTCACTTAGCCTCAATAGCCTGTTGAATATAAATACATAATGTGATTGTATGAGTAGTTCTTTCTTTGCTACTCATATAGTGCAGTTGAGGTCTGTTCGGCTTGATGTTTGTATCTCTCTATGAATGATCTAGTAGTATAGAATTGGGGAATGGATTTCTAGCTGATATAGCTGCAGGAAGTTCAGGTAGGGACGGACCACGAGGGCACAGTGTTGTGGGGTCATGTGGTCTCCTGTGTTGTAGGGCAGGAAAAAACAAACCACAACCAAATAAAAATAATTGAAAACATTTTTTAATGTGTAGAGGACAGCTGGTAAATATCAAGAATGTAAGGAACAGGGTAAGAAGAAAAGAAAAAGGAAGGAAAATAAAAACAAAAGAGTAAAAGAAAATAGGAATAGCAGTAGACATAGATATATAATAAACAAAACTAGGGAAGGTGGGGGGAGAACCACAAAACAAATTCCGAGAAGAGAAAGAAGTGGTAAAAGAAAAGAGAAATAGAAGAAAATAATGAAGAAGAAAAAAAGGAATATAAATAAAAGAAACAACAGATGAACTGAAAAGCAAAGAAAGTCAAAGACTGTAGGGTAGAGCACCTGGTATTGGTTAGCACTCTATGCCTGCTATGGATCTCATGGAGGGGGGGGGGGGTAATAAACTGGTCCTAAATGCCATTGTCGCCGACCTCAGTGTTATCTTGAGTCAGGGAACCTGATCTGGAAGCAGTTCGTGCTGGCTCACTGGCTCAGATTGTGCCTAAAGTCAGGGTACTGTCCCAGAAGGAATTCTGGGGGCACAGAAGGCAACTAGGATTGGGTGACTGGTTATGAAAGGATTTCTAGCCCATGCAGTCGTGGCTAAGGATACAGAATCATGTGTTTTATTGATATTATGAGGGGGGAGTTACACGCTTCCAGACAAGGGGTGGTACATCTCCCCCCACACAAGTGCAAGGCTGTGAAGGCAGAGCAGGCATTGCAGAGGGCAAAATGGGTGTTACTGGCTGCTAGATGGGTGAAGGTAGGAATGGCCATACTTCTGGTCACCAAGATGGTGTAGGGAACACGAAGGAGTGCCACCTTTCTAATCCTTCACCATTGTGTGCCAGGCTGCTGGCTGGACAGAATGCCTCTAGCAGAAGTCCAAGAGGTCCTCGAGACTTCAGGCGAGTCAACAAGTTATCGGTCTCCTCTTTGGTTGCTTCTGTTCGGCTTCTTCTCCTGGTTAGTATTTGATCCACTGCTCTGTCCTTTCATACGAAGTACAGGCTTCCTGCTTTATCATCTATATCTGTTTCCGTTGGGCTTTTTGCTTTGATTTAGAGAGTATCTTTAGTGTGTTTTCTTAGTTCACCATCCAACCAGAAGTTCACTACTCATATTCTTATTGTTGGAAATGTTGGGTTAAGGGGTTGATTTGGGCACTTACTTTTTAATTTTTATTACTTTCATGTTTTTAACTATAAATTTCCCTCTGAGCATTGCTTTTACTAT